CCCCGGCAGCCGCGACAGTGCGTGGCGGAGCGGCCCGGCCTCAGCTCCGGCGGGAGCTCGCTGGGCGGCACACCCAGGGCGAAGGGCCTCGGCGGAGGAGGCGGCGGCTGCTGACCGGCCCTCGGGCTACATTACCGTGCTGTTTGTTTCTTTATTACCCCAACCATCAACGCTTTTCCCCCCATAATTTCGTTCTGTCCTTACACGTTATACTGTTTCCCCTGTAGCAGTTCGAGAAATAAATAGTTGCAGCTATTGGAAACTAAAGGGTTTTGCACTTTCAAAACAGTATCTTGAAGAATGACATAAATCCATACAGCCTACATAACATTTCTTGGATTTTAAGCTGTTGGTATCTTAAAACGCATGCTGAAAAATGCAAATGCTCCACAGTTGGACAATACTGGGGTTTCCAGGAAAAGTGCCGTCACGGGACGTCAGCACCCCCGAACTCCTCCCTTTCCATCGCCCGCTTCGCGCTGGTCGAGCCCTCGCGCCTGCAGCCCGCGCCGTTTCAGCCCGTGGTTCGCTCGGGTTTTTATAAACTCATGGATAATCGCGCGAGCGGTTGAGCTCCTCCGGCCTGGCGAGCGCGGGCATTTGCCGAAGCGAAGCAGACCCCGAAGGCGCCCGGCCGCGGGGCGCTCCCAGAGCCTCGCGCTCTGACCCGCTGCTGGCTTCCTCGCACCTTTCCGCGCCCTCGTGTTTCTGAGACCCACGGCTCTCCGCCAGATTTCACCAAAACTGGCTGACTTGTGCAGACATAGCGGCACGGGCAGAATAAACACCACTTCTTTAGGAAATAAAAGGGCACAAATGAAGAGGCGTGCTCAGCGCCAGGCTGGCAAAGCCCTGGTACGGGGGGTACGGGGACGTGCTGCACTTTTCCCTCGGAGGGGAAATCCGAATTACTCACGTTCCTCATGCGAGAGCCGCTGGTGAATTCTGACTCCGTATTTCATACGCTATATTCAAAGGGACACTTATTTCTTTAGTGCCATGTGCCCAGCGCAGCGCGGCTCAGGAGAGGTTCGGACGCTCACATCTCGCAAGGCAGAAATGTTTGCAAGTACAGTTGTTAACCTTACATTCTCACTTCATGTTGTGTTTCCTAGTAAGGACATTTATAATCCTGTTTTCTACTAGCTTGTGCTGAAAAGAGAAGATTTATGTGAGTTTTCATTTCTATGATCCTATTAATTTGATAAAAATCTCTCTGCTTTGTTTTTCAGCAGTGGTAGTTTGGCTCTGCTAGAGTTAAACCACATTAATATGGACTTCTGTGCCGGAGGGAAGTTAGAGATGGTTTTTGACAAAGGGGCCCCTTTGTGGCTGCCTTTGAGATTAACATTCAGGAATGGGCAATTGTTTCTTTTAAAAAATCATCATTTATCTTAGGCACCCGAAACCGTCGCCTGCTATGCGAGATGTAAGGTCATGTGTTTTATTTGCACAGATTTAAAATACCCCAAAAATAAAAATTTAAAATACTCTGAAGCCTGAAGGGGAAAAATGATCTTCTGTCATCTTTCCCTCAGGAACAGAGTTATGCTGCGACTGCGTGAGCAGACAATAGCCATATTCAAAACTTCAGGCCAGATGTCTTCAAAATCATACTACCACCCAAATTAGTTAAAGCACAAACAAACGTTTGTCACTGACGTAGCTGCCCCAGATAGGGTAACGCCTCAGCCAGCGTTCCTCATTTTGGAGCAGACTGAGAGAAAGGAGGATCAAAATGAAGAAGTTACTTGTGGTTGTCTTCTTTTTGGTCCTCAGGACCATTTCTACAGGTAGGAGTTTATGTGAAACAAACCTGCGTTGTGTAGAGCTGCAGAGCGTATTATAATAGTATTAGTTTATCAACCTTGTATTTTAGTATCTTCATATTTCATTTTTAATACTTAACTGCTTTTATATTGCAGGCTTTCCACGATTTGATTTTTAACAATCATGCTATTGTATTAGATATTTTACTCTCTGCATTACCACACTGTTGTAATTTATTCGAAAACCAAAAAGTTTTATTTTACGAGCTTACTATTTTGTTTTACCAAGGTCCTGCAAGCTAAATGTTCAATGCAATCTCTCCTTTGCAAGAAAAGTCTAACTCATTACTGTGAAAAATAATCCTAAAAAGTAAAGTAACACAGAAAAGAACAAAGAGTTGGAAGAGTTACTAATGTCAGTGGTTAGATGGTGCTGTTATATTTTCTCATTTTAGAGAGTAACATGAATATGTAGGGTTTGCTTCATACTGGTAGAACTATAGAAAGCACAAATATAAAAATGGTTTAAAATTCCACTCGTATCTCCTGGAACGAAATATCCCCTGGGAAGGGGCTGTAATTTCAGAACACTTTGTATATTGACAAAAATCAGGTTTGGAGACATTTCATTTTACAACTGACAGATAAAATATTAAATTTTTTGTAATTTCAGAACTAATTTCTGCTTTTCTCTCTTTAGACACTTCACCAATTTTGACTGAAAAAGATGCTAAACAGATTCTGAGAACTCGTCGTGAAGACAGACCGAGAAAAGCTGGTTTTCCTGATGAGCCAATGAGGGTGATTTATGATATTTATTTTTAAATTACATTAAAAAAAAAACCAACACCAAAAACACCAAGACATTTGTGTTTAGTATTAAATTTCTAAAGATTTAATTCCAAGCAATATGTTATCACCCTTTTAAGCAGCTGAGTTCTTCCTTAAAATATTAAAACACCTCTTTACATTCTTTCAGTTACTGTTAAGTAGCATTCTGTAAGTGCTGAACACTGCTCAGGAAATGTATGCTTGCAGAACGTGGAAATTATTTATCATGGTTCAAAAATGCCCATTAAATTATTGAGAAGAAAGTGACTTTTCATTTATAGAAATGTAGATTTCATCAGGTTGTTCCTGAAAAACTAAATAACAGGAAAAGTCTTCTGCTGACCGTACCTTCTGCACTCAAGGCAGAAGGGAGACGCAGGCGTCAGTGGTGAGTGCGGAGATCGAGGTAGTTCTGAACTAGCTTTTAACATTACTCACTTTCATTCCCTTATTTATGAATGCTACAGATAGGGTGGTTTGTTATGATATTGTAGAAGTTGTTAGTTGCTAGCTGAATGCGACAGCATTGTTTTTGCAGGCAGTATTTACATTTATTTATTTTTAAACCATATTACAACAAAAGAAAAAGTGAAAGAATTAAGGAGCCTTCTGTTTTACTTGCTTTGACAGGATGTAACATCTAATTCTGCACTTCTCAAGAGGTACTTAATGTATTTTGAAATTACTGCCTATTTCTTTCCAAAGTAAATACAGTGTGCTAAAATTAGATGGTTCGGAAGAGGCAAACCCCACAGGAGCCAGAAAGCACACAATAGATCGTACATGTATGACAACTACAAGGGGCTGAGCTTAGCCAGGTGCTGAACACTTCCGAACTCCCTAGGACATATACCCGGCAGGACTGCGGAGACAGACAGCGGTTTGCCGTTTCTAACCGTTACTGTATACCGGCTAAAAAGAATCCACCTGGCCGTCCTGGGTGCCTGGCCGTACACCGCTGCCGACGTCCACACTTCTTTGCCAAGCGTGACGGCCACAGCACATGAAAGCCGTCACAAGAATATTGCACCATGCTTGGTAACAATCTTCTACAATGAAGACTGTATAACGGGGCCAAAACCCAGAAGGCACGGGCTTTGCTGCTGCCCACAGCGTTCAGGACTGGGTTGATTTCCAAGCTGTTGTTAAATGAGCCTTGGAGTTTTTGAAAATCAGCGGGAATACAGCTCCCATCTATGCTTATGCTTAAGATACCACCACGATTATATAATATGTTATGTAGTAAATATAACATATCTTAAATACAAAATAAGTAAAACAGTAGAGAAGTTGGATTGAGTTAAATCCTGTGTTACAGGAAGTTACGTGCGTACATTGGACGCACTTAGTCATACGGTTTCGGTTTAGTCCTGCGAGGAGCAGGGAGCTGGACTCTGATCCTTATGGGTCCCTTCCAACTCAAGATATTCTATGGTTTTATGATCCTAGGCGGGGAGTAGAGGGAGCTGGGGCTAGAGGAGTGTTTGATTACTGACCTCCGCTGCTCTGCCCTCGCCACTCGCCATCCTACCACAATTAGTAGCACTTCGTTGAAAAATTCCAACCTTCTTTTTATTTCTTTTTTTTCCTACACAGCGATGCTGGCTTTCTGTAAGAAAACCCAAATATAAGAGTATTTGTTTTTCTCACTAAATGTCAAGGTTTTCAGTAGAAAAGGAGATACCTTCTGATAAAAAAACTATCCCCTCCGCCATGTGGAACATGGAGATTTTCCCTTGTGAAAGAAGGTGCGTGGCTGCTGTGTCCTTGTGCACAGTTCTACCACCAGCTCAAGGAGAAAAACTGATTTTGTATGGATTCTTTGTAGCAGAATGACATGAATGCTGGGGTGAACCCACCTCTGTTCATCTATTTTAAGCAAAAGCTGTTTGTACTAGGCCAGATCATGCTGAGCTGGGGAATTTAATTTGCAATTCTTTGTGAAACTGTTTGACTTCCACAGTGCTGTTTCAGTCAGAAAGCCTGTCCGGTTACAGGCAGCAAGATCTGCCATCTTTGATTATTTTAAAAATGCCATTTATGTTATCAGCATGTTTTAATCTCACTTTAACCGAGCCCCTGCTTTGTCTCATGTCGCATCTTCTCAGTCATACAGTCCTGTTCTCCACAAGTTCCTAACGCAGTCTCAGGGAGGGATTTGAGCCAAGCCCCCCTGCGCTGCGAGGACAGCGAGCACAGCAAAAGGCAGGGTACTGCTGGCGCCCAGCGTACCAACCCGCCGGTCAGCACGCAGGGCAGAGGACCGGGTGGCAGCGGGAACACCCGGCCAGCGCAAAGGCTTTACGCTACAGCTCCCATTCCTACAATGCCTACTGCGCAAAGCGATGGGGGCATATTTGGAAAAAATGTATCTAGTGTTCACAAAGCTTATGAGTCCACATGCACTGGGACTGTAACTTTTTAAAAGTAAATTTTGTTCCTGATGGAGGCCAAGTTTTTGGTACACAGCTCACTTCAGTTTGATAACTTGTTGCTTACTTCAAAAAACTATAAATTAGCGTGGGAAATTCACATTATTTTATGTATCACAGAAAGAACGATCAGCACCGATGCATGCTACTACTAGAACCCCCCCGAGCACTGCCACGTGATCCTGTAAGGGGCTAATGGTTTTTAATCAGCAGGA